TGGCACCAAGGTCAGACTGACAGGTCTTGTAGTTCCCAGTTCTGATTGCATGTCTATGAAACCGATAATGTCTGGTGTTGGGAAGTGGAAGCATCTGTTTATTGATTTTTGCTTAAATGTTTTCTATCAGGTTTTATTTTCCCCACTGGTATTGCAATGGCACGAACAGAGCATATCGGTATGGCATTCTTCGAGGTACAGAGAGCCCTGTTCTTGATGATCTTGTCATGTGTTACCTGTTTGCACAGGTACGATTTGCTTGATTATTTTTTTAATGCAGATTGGTAAATGTTGCTAGTATTTATTCCCTTTCAAGTCTTCCAATAGCAACTGTGTAGGCTCTTGACAGTTTGAAGCCCACTCAAGAGGAAAATTAAATGCCATGACACATTGTGTATTGTGATAACTGAAGCTCAAGTGACAGCTGTGAGAGCAGTGAGAATGTCTTGTGCTCTGCCATGTGGAAGTCTTTCAGTATGACTTTCATTTTGAACTGACAGAATGTAGAACAACATCCTCCAAGTATGGACCTTTTTGAGATTTGAAATGAAAATATTTTGAAAACAGTGTTTCTAAACATTGTTGTAGCTGATATCCATTATGAACGTGTACAGCTTTTTGTGTATGAAGGGGTTCATTGAGAGGAATGCAATCTTAAAAACAAAATAAACAAACAAAAAAGAAAAAATACAAACAAACAAACAAAAAACCCAACACCTACCCCCATATCTCAAAAAAACTTTTATTGATGAACAGCAGTGCTATGGTTTTAATTTACTTTCTTGCATTCTCCTTTCTAAGTGGCGAGATGATTTTTTGAATGGATGGATACAGATGCCTGTTACTCATGAAACACAAGAAGAATGCCTTGGAATGGCTGTTCTGGATATGATGAGAGTGGCCAAAGAAAAGGACCAAACCCCACTGGCTATTTACAATTCAGTCAGGTGACTCCATAGTTTATAACTGTATCACACCTATATATGTAAAACCGGTGGTTTTGCACATTTGCATCTGGGAGGAGGTGCTCTGCCATTGGCAGTTGATGTTTTTGCTATCATAATGATTCCATTATCCATGGCTAGTGTATCTAGACTATAGTGTATACTATATATATGTACTAGTATAGTGTATTTAGACTATCCATGTCTAGTGTAGACTAGACATTAATAGGAAGCTTGTTTCATGACAGCTGTTCATGGTTTCCGGTACGTGGATTTGGCTCTGTTAATGAGAGGTAAGGCAGCAGATACTTAAGTGGGAAAGGATGTACACAGTAATTTGAGTTGAGAGTCCTCTAAAAGTAACCAAATCCAATCCCCTGTTCAGATCAGGGCCACCTTTAAAGTTAGATGAAGCTATTCAGGGCCTCATCCAGTGAAGTTCTGAAAAAGTCCAGGGACAGGGACTCCACTGTATCTCTGGACAGCTTTGTTGTATGTATGATCACCCTAACTGAGGAAGATATTCTCTGTATACAGTCAGTCTCCTCTGTGATACTGATTATCCTCTGTTGTCCCTTGTCCTTGTGCTGTGCATATCTGAGGAGAGTCTAATTTGCTCTTCTTTGTAACCACCTGTTAGTTGAAGACAATTAGTAGAACACCATCATTGAGCCTTTTTCTTCTCCAGGCTGAACAAAGCAATCCCTCTTACACCTCTTCTGTCATGCCATATGCTCCAGGTTCACTAGCTTGGGCAGATCTATGCTAAACTTTTTCAATTTATCAATTTTATCAATTCCCTTTGGCTTATCAACCTAATGGGTTTCCACTTCAGCTGAGTTAATTCTGTCCCTGCTTAGCGTTTCATGCTTGACATTTGTCTTTTAATTAAACTAGTGGGAGTGAAAAACGGAATGAGACAGTGAACTGGCCAGCTCATTGCATGTGGCAAACTACTCTTGCCCCTTGATATAGAATATGGACCATGATATAGGAACTTGAGTGACAACCACCATGTTGTATTCTACCATCTATGTTTTCAGACAGGAAATCTGTCCTCTTTCCAGCCAGCTTCTACACCAAACAGAGCAGTGCTGTAACTTCTGCTGCCTTACCTCAGCGCTTCAGTAATGACTAGAACAGACATGTCTGGGTTTATGGAAAATGTATTATATATTATGTGTTGAAACTAAGTGAGGGGAAAAATTGAAGAAGAGACAGGGCTGTGTTAGAAAGAGCATACTACAGATTCAAAAAAGGATCCTTTCTCTCCTACAGTTTAAAAAATAAGAATGCATTTAGAGGAAAAGATATTTTCATGTTGACTTGTTTAGCACAGAACTAATTGTCTTTGCTGGTTTTAATGGATAAAATTACTAGTTTTTTTACTGGTTGTATGTTCACAGCTACAAAATGTTTTTGCCTAAATGTGTGCGAGCAAAAATCCAGGACTACCACATTTTGACGCGAAAAAGGATAAGGTACAGGTTCCGCAAATTTATACAACAGTTTGGCCAATGCAAAGCTACTGCCAGAAACTTGAAACTTAAGTATCTTATAAATCTGGAAACCCTTCAGTCTGCCTTCTATTCAGAGGTTTTTGAAGTAAAAGAACCTGGTGGAGATCCTTCTGGAGAGGAACGTTTTGCAACCATTGTAATAACTGGAAATGGTGGAATTCAGTGCTCAAGAGGGAAACTTAAAGACTGTGAGACACTGTCAGAGCAGGTAATTTTTTTTCATTAATTTAATAATTTTGCAGTTTATCATGTAAGAGTGATTATCAGAACTAACATAAGCTATATACCACAGATAAATTTGGTAGGTTAATGTTACTTTACAGTGATGATAGAATTTCTGTTGACTGAGGCTCAGGGAAATCCATTGACTTAAACAGCATAGGATTTTAAAATCGTGTTTTTATTGACATATTAGGAAAAAGTCAATACTTGAACATGTAATACTTCTGTGCCTGCCAAATGAAAGATTTTGTATTTGACCTTCATTATTGTAAAAAAATCAATGTGGAAAAGTAATGACCCTATCCTCAGGCAGAGATAAAATGCATTAATTTCTCAAATTCCCTTTGAAAGCAGGGGTTTAAGGACTCCAAAAGCTAGGTAACTTTCCCTATACCTCTGACCTGCTTCAGTTAGACTCCTGCCAATATCTGAGCCAGCAAATGTAAAATGACATATACTGTTTGTTCAGGACTTGGTTCCAATAAGTGCTAGTATTCCTGTGCTGTTGCATTTTTTATTTATCAATGTTATTTCTTTTGTGTGTGGTTTTCCAACATGAGTATTCGTATTGTTGAAAATACTAGAATCTGTTACAAACTTTCAGCAGTATACATTGAGAGAATGGGAATTTTCCACAAGCAAAATTAAAGCCAAATTGGAGCACATGTCATCTTTCCAAAGTACTTGCCTCTGTTAGTTTGGTACTTTTCATGCATAATATGTAGCAGTCAAGACTAAACTGCAAAAGGTTGTATTTATACAGTGTTCTATAATACATTATAAATTTTTTTTTTTTTTTTAGACTGGGAGGGGAAAAAAAAAATCTGATTATGTACCCAGACTTTTCAAGCACATTTGTTGACTTTCGGTCCAGTTGCCTCATTTGTTGTTGTTACGTACCAGCCCTGCACTTTCTCTAAGCTGCTGATAAGTGCTAGTTGCTCTGGCAGGAGCTAATGTAAATATCAGATTTTGCAGTTTCTGGCTTTAGGTGTAAAACATTTATGCATACTATGCTCTTTGGGCCTGGAAACTAGGCCTTTAGTAAGAGTAGTGTTTAAACTGATCATATTTTCTACAGAGATTGCCAAATTAGTTTTCATAATAATATTATCATGTTACTTACTGACAGATATGGTGTGGGCTGCATATACTTTACTGGTGAGGAAACTTTATAAAATTTGTCAGCAAAACTTAGTAAATTAACAAGGCTGCTTATAAATGGGCTCATAACTCATTTCAGCACACTATCCTGATGAGTCTTTATTAAGATAATGAATTGAAACAATATTTTTATTTTTTTGAAGATGGGAGTGACCTTTGTGGGATAGATGGTGAAAAAATTTGTTTTGCCAGTTTGTATTTCCAACAAAGAGATGAACAAATAGAGTTTCAGGGACTTCAGTCCATTTGAGCTGATTTATTCTAGCTGATACCCACCGACTCTTACGGCCTTGGTTATGACACCTGTTTATGTAGTAGGATGTGCTTGCAGCTGTATAAATAGGGTATTCTGATTCGTGTAACATCTATTTACTTTAGAAGAATAATTTTGGGTAAATAAACCTGCCTTTATTTAAGGATGTTACTAAGCATATGAAGTTCTATTAAAAACAACAGAAATTATCATTTTTATGATATTGTTATTTGACTTGTGAAGTACTGAAGGAATTGGTACAGAACATCATTGGTTCAAAAACACCTGAACTTGATGTCAAAGGAAGATGTGTCTTAGATTTCCCATGTAGCTGGGATTGGTGCTTCAAGTTGCCTGGTCAGTGCTGATGACCACTGCTGATGGAAGAACCTTCTCTTAGACCCTTTCCTCATTCGCACTACATCCATCTCTTTGCTAGCAGATTTCACAGCTTACATCGCTTTGAGTGAAGCCATGACATTTTTGATTGTTAACAGGCTTTCTAAAGCTCCTTAATCAGGATGATAATAGTAAATTCTCAGAACAAACAAACAGAAAAAATCCCAACAGCCCGACCCCCCTGATCAGTCAAAATGTTCCATTGTTAATCCTCACCACTACAGAGCAAAGAAATAGATACGATTCAATTAAAAATACATATTTTTCTGTTCACAGTTCCTGGATATGTGGGATTTTTGAAATTGATACTCCTAGTGATGGTCCCAGAAACACAAAACTCCTTTCTTTGTTTGCAATGGCATATTTAAATGTTTTATGGTCCTCTTTGTTGCTAGCTTAAAAGTTCAGAGCTGTAGAAATTGTAATGCTGCAAACAGGTGGGGTTTTTTAGTTGCTATTTATGCTATTATTGACATATAACAAATATTTATTGCAGGATTTACAAACATACTGTGATTTTCCTGATATCATTGATGTCAGCATTAAGCAAGCAAGTCAAGAAGGCTCCAGTGAGAGAAGAATTGTCACCATTCACAAACAAGACAGCAAGAATCTGGTCTGTTTGCTTTCCTTGCTGTTTTTTCAAGTAGATGTTTTTTTGATCAGACTATGTCATTGCTGTGGCATTTTTAGTATTGTATAACCAGTTAGCTTCTTAATGTACATGAGGTAAAGCTAAATACATTTCAGTGATGTGTCGGAACACCAAACACATTTTGCATTCAAAGCTCTGTGCACAGACCGAAATAGAAACAGATGTTTGTAGCTGAGGGTAATTTCTGATAGGTTGGTTCTTCTCTTTATTGGAGCCTTAAACCTGAGTCTGTGGTTTTAGCTATTGAGCATACTTTTCGTATGCTGTCATGGTAAGCTGTCAGCCAAAACATTGGAAAAGGCCTCAAAATACTCTGAAGGAATGATGATACAGAGAAAATAAGTACTGGGATAAAATTAATGTCATTGCTTTTACTGTTCAGGATTCCTTAAAGAAGACCTTAAGAAAGCATTTTATATGTGACTGTAAAAAGTCATTAAAGTTTGAACTCCATCATTGCACTTGAGTCAGGCTTTCCAGCAGATATAGCTGCCACATAGTTGTGTGGTGTGTTGACTTTGGCTGGACACCAGGTGCCCACCAAGATGCTCTATCACTTCGCCATCTCAATGGGATAGCAGGACAAAAATACAACAAAAGTATCATGGGCTGAAATAAGGACAGGGAGACATCACTCACCAGTTACCATCAAAGGCAGAACAGACTCAACTTAGGGAAATTAATTTAATTTATTGCCAATCAAGTCATAGTAGAGTAATGAGAATTGAAACCAAATCTTAAAAACACCTTCCCCCCACTTCTTCCCGAGCTTATCTCCACTTCTGAGTTACTCTACCTCCTCCCCTCCTGAGTGGCCCAGGGTGACAGAGAGTGGGAGCTGCAGTCAGTTCATCAGGTGTTGTCTCTGTCGCTCCTTCCTCTTCACACTCTTCCTCTGCTCCAGCAGGGGTGAAGGAGAAGCTTCTGCCTTCTCACAGGCAACAGTCCTCCATGAAATTATCCAGCTTGGGTCCTTCCCATGGGCTGCAGCTCTTCAAAAACTACTCCAGCATGGGTCCCTTCCACACAGAGTACAGTGCTTCAGGAATAGGCTGCTGCAGCATGGCTCCCTGACGTGGTCAGAGGCCCTGCCAAGAGCCTGCTCTAGCACAGGGTCTCCATGGGATCACAGCCTCCTTCAGGCATCCACCTCCTCTGGCGAGGGGTCATCCACAGACTGCATGTGGATATCTGCTCTACCGTGAACCTCCATGGTCTTCTGGAACACAGCCTGCCTCATGGTCTTCACCATGTCCTGCAAAAGCATCTCTGCTCTGCTGCCTGGGGCACCTCCTTCCCTTCCTTCTTTATAAACCTCGGTGTCTGCAGGGATGTTCCTCTCATATATTCTCACTCCTTTCTCTGGCAGCTGTTGAATAAGAGCTTTTTCCCCTTCTTAACTATGTTATCATAGAGGCACTACCACTGTTGTTGATGGGCTCAGCCTTTGCCAGCAGTGTGTCTGTCTTGGAGCCAGCTGGCATTGGCTGGCAGACATGGGGGAAGCTTCTAGCAGCTTCTTTCAGAAGCCCCCCCTGTAGCCTCCTTGGTACCAAAACCTTGACACACAATACAAGTTGTTTCTTCCTTTATCGCTGTGATTCCTTCAGGGCTCCCCATCACAGGCGTTTCTGTCCCTGGAGGGCTTCATTCCTTCTCTGTCCGTTTGAAAATGCTGTGTACAACTTAAGTACTTCTTTTCTGTAAACATAATCTTTTTCATTCAAAGAAATATTTGTGCAAGCATTAACTAGCTTTATTGTCTAATTATGCTTTTTTTTAGAAGACGAAAAGGCATATGGTTTACCTTCATTTATATTAGAAATACAGTTCACTTTCATTTCCTGCATTAATGCATTTGAAAATTTTTCAAGGCTTTTTGTTGAGAAATAAGAGTACCTGTAACATCTGTGATGTGCATCTGTGATGCTGAGAGCGTAATAATATTTAACATTAGTGGAGAGGGTTCCTTAATCTTGAGCCATTAAAATTCTCTTTAAAAATTCTCAGTAGTGGTAGTTGGTCTACATATTGTAGACTATTTGTCTGCATATGCTTTCTGAGGGTAAAAGTGAGTTCCTAAGGGCTTGTCTAAAACAGCTGCTGAAGAATAAGACAGAATAGGAAACAGTGCAGGAGCTGCTGTTTTGCCTATGATTTGTGTGGAAATGATGGACATTTTACACATCAAAATTAGCTGATCTGTAAATTAGAATTTGTGATTTTTAGTTTAACCTGTTACACAGCTAGTAGAATTAATTATAGAAATGTACTTCACATGGTTTTAGGGTATGTGGATTGATTAAACTGTCTGTATTTCTAGGTCTACTGTGTGCCAGGGGTGTGGGAGGATTCTGATCATGTTGAAACAACTGGAAATGCAATGGTTTCCATGTTCCCTTTTAATAAGGAGTTCAAAGACTCCAAACAAGTTCTTGGCACATGATCAAAAGCACCAGAGTTTTTACTGATGCCTAGCAAAGTACTTGTCAAGCCATTGTCCTCAGCCACTGTGTGTCCCCAGTGTTGTGGGCCAACTTGTGCAGCACATGCTAAACCTGTTCTGTTGGGTTACTCTGCTGTGTGAAATCTCGTGTGACTCTCTAGATGGGAGACTAACACTTCTCTGTTGTAGTAAAGACAGCCTTTAGTGCTCTGATACTGTTGTCAAGATATGAAGAAAATGTAAGGAATTCCATTAAAATAGATTCTACTTTCCTTTCTTGGCAGAACTAAATATATTGCTACAGAAGGATTTAGTTTTGTCCTGCTCTTCCTTGTTCAACGTATTCTGCATAGACCTTTTCCACACCCCATTTTCCTTTGACCACATTTTCTCCCTGCTTCTATCCATTGTACCTCTCTTCATAGTAGTTAAAGGTCAGCTTCTGTCTATAATCCAGCTCAGGGTGCCAGGTTTTGCTGACTACTAGTTAAATTTTCAGGCGGATAGCTTTCTAGAGATTTTTCTTTGCTACTTGAAGGCAGCACCATAAATCTTAAGATAAGCAAAGGCTTTCCTTTAGGAAATAAGTGCAACTGTGTTGACAGTGCAGTAGGTGTCTGCCATGCTGAGTTGTATCTATGGAGTTTTCCCCTTCAGATCTTCTCTCTTGTCATCATTCCTCTGCTGTTTCATATATTTAAAGGTCTTCTTAGGTTGGTTTGGTTTGGGTTTAATTTTGAATGTTAAAGATTGCTAACAAGTTCTGTGTGGAACTGTACAAAGAGTAGATTAAAACAATCAAGATACATGTAATTTATGCATATATATTTTTTATTATTACCATATCTGGGAATCTTGTGTGCTTATTAAAAATGTAAATTTTTTTTCTCTCCCCCCCACCGCTCTGCTTCCACCCCCACCACCCCTCCAACCCACCCCCATTTTTCCCTTGGCAATTTAACAGGAGGCTGAATTTCAGTCATTAAGAGAAGCTCTCTCCTTTGTGTCATTAATTGATGGATATTACAGATTAACTGCAGATGCCCACCATTATCTCTGTAAAGAAGTGGCACCACCATCAGTCCTTGAAAACATCCAAAGCAACTGCCATGGACCAATTTTGTAAGCAATTTTTTAGCAATATAACAAGGTGATACTATTTTTGAAAGGTGAACTTCAGTTGCCTGTGAACCATGATGGACATATTGAAATGTGTATTTATTACATTCATGTAACATAAAATACTTTACATTTTTCTTCTGATTCTTTGCTTTGCAAAATATGGCTCCCCGATGTATTATAAAAAATAAATTGAAAGATTCAAGTTTTAATTTTCTTCCCTTAGAATTGTTTTTTTCTTCAAGTGACACAGACAGGAAAGTCATGATGCTGATTTTTACAGAATTATAATTACTAAACTAGCAGCAACATGCATGTCATGGACAGATGATCTCATGTTTTCATTACAGCCTCTAGCAGTTATATTACCTGAGTTGCCAAGGGGAAAAAGGCAAATTCAGGTAATGCTCTCTTCAAGAGGTGAGCAGGGATTACAGTAAAATACTAGCGATATAGTTTGGAGGGTTGGTTTACTTTTAAGGAATGTTGTCTCTTTGGTGGTTTTTTTTTGTTTCTTTTTTTTTTTTTGAGAAACAATTTAGTACCTTCATTTAATTTCTTTAAGTTTTTTTTTTTAAATAGTTCATATAGTATTGTTTATTATTTGGAGACAGACACACACAGAAGCTTATAAATGTTTTGTTAGGCAGAATAAAATGGATATTTGCTTTGGCTGCAGAAAGCCTGAAATGTAATGTATGTAAGATATGTTGCATGAAATTAGCACGGTCTACTCAAATAATGCAGCATATTTCAGTAAATTTCTCAGTGACAGGAAGGGGATAGATGCTATAAACTTCGGAACAGATAAAGGGGGCGAGGGACGGGGACCTGTAGAGTTCTAATCACACATCTTGCACTAATGGCTAATGCTGCATATTGACCTTTATTCAGGACTGTTTAGAAGGATGTATGATGAGTCTAGACCTTTTCAAGCTGTTCTGTTGCTCATTCCCTGAGATGGCTAGAAGTAATCAGTTAGCATGGCTCATTTAAGGAGAAATTGGTTCTTCCAGTAACAAATTGTTTTATTTCAGCTCCTCTTTCTTGTTAGCCATTTCCCAAGTTAAAACTACCATTTTCACCTACACAAATATTTTGCTGATTTTAGCTTATTAGCTAGCTTTATTGCAACTTCTTCCAGAATGTGTGCTGGAAGTCATATCATAAGCTTAGGGGAATGTGCTATTTTAGGCTGTAAGATTTCTCATCAAATAAATAATTCTGTTGTTTTCAGTATTAAGAATTTTTTATATACTGCTCTCTACATAAGCAGCCACCCTGAATAGTGGAAGATAAAGGCACAAAGAGATAAGTTCCAAAGGGAGCTGAAAAATTGAGAGTTTGAATTGTTGTTGTATTACATATCTGATGGTGCGTGCTCACCAATTTCTGATGTTCCTGGATTTTGAAATGATTAACCATTTTCTTTTTACTATAGCATGGACTTTGCTATCAGTAAACTGAAGAAGGCGGGTAATCAGACTGGTTTCTATGTTCTTCGCTGCAGTCCTAAAGATTTTAAAAAGTACTTTCTCACCTTTGCTATAGAGGTTTGTATTCTGCCTTAGTTATACCTGTGTAAGTTTTATTGCATTACAGTAATGAGCCTGGGATGTTCAGTAGATGATGCTGAATTTTGTCTTCAGAACGTTCGTCTGAGGTGTATGTTCTGTAGGTACTTCTGTTGGATTAAACAGCTTTTGGGGTCTTGTGAGAAACATCAGAATACTTGTGTGGTAAAGAATCATGAATGACACATACCGTATGCCTGGGAGGGCAAGACAGATGGGGGAAGGAGAGCTTGAGAGAGTTCTGAGAATTGTGACATTCCTCTTGGGACTGTCATAACTGTTGGGTGGTGGAGCATTTTGGGGTTTTTTCTTTTTAAGGTTGGGTTTTTTTTAGTTGGATTTTATCCTTGAATTTCTGTTTATCTACCCCACTTCTCCCCTCCCAGACAGGGCTTAGTTAGACTGGGTATACAGCTCTTGGTGATCTGAGAGTTTCTCTCCTTCACAGGTTATTCTAGGTTTGGGTCCAGTAGCCATCCCCTGTGCTAGGCCAGCTGTATTATTTGACAGCTGTTAGGCCAACACAGATCTCCTGCTGGATATGTGCTGTTATCTAGACTGGGAGTCACTCTTGAAACACCTGCAGTTCTCATACAGCTAAAGAACAAGATGCACCTCTCCTCTCTGAGACTAGTTAGTGACACTAGAGTACTCTAATATTGCTGTTAGGTGATGGCATGGTCTTGTTTTGAGGCTGGGCTTCTTTTAAATCAAGAGCTACCTTTGTGTTTTTAACAAAGGAAAGTGATCCATGGGTTTTCATGTTGGTTTGTGGCAAGCTAGCAAGTTTACTGAATGCTCTCAGTGATATGTACATCTCTGAAAATTGCACAGTAATGTTCATGTGTGGATGGAGAAGTAAACAGCCATTTCAAGATCAGTTTCACAAAAACCTTATGTCAAGTCAGTGAAGTGTTTGACAGGGACATTTTTAGTCTAAGAGATCTGGGCCTGAGCAAGCTTAAATTGTCAAGGTCTGAGGATCAAGCTTGTTAGTTAAGCCTGCATTTAAGTGACCTAGTGGCATTTATAGTATTTTTTTCCTTATTCTGAGTCTTTCTGGACAAGCTGTTAGAAGGCTTTTGAGATCCAGAATTTGTTGGAATATTTTCCACAGGGTTGATGCAAACGACCATGAGAGCACTAAGAGCTCTTGTTTAAAAGTGTTTAACAGGATCTTTCCAAGAGTCATTATAAAAACAGTTCAGTACATATTGAAAATCTGTGCTAAGAACAAATTGCTTAGAACTGTACAGAAAAATAGAAATACAGCTGAGCTCTTCAAATACTTGCCAAAAGAACAAGGAGCATGAGCACTTGAGCTATTGCTTCTAACAAAGTTTTATTTTGATATTACCCGATGTAGGGGTAAAGAAGCTTTCAGTACTAGCTCTGAAGGATTTTTTCTAGGATCCATGACCTGTTTTCTCAGCTCCATCTTTGCAGATTTTGTAACATTTGTTTTTTGTAGCATCAACATGCTAGTTCCAGTGATGGGAGCAGAATCATGTTTTCTCAGAATCAGTTAGAACAAAATAACAAATTATGGTAATATTTTAATGAAGCATTCTTTCTTTAATTAATAGAATGCTATACATTTAAGCTTTCAAATACTGAATATTGATAGCTTTTCTTTTTAATGGAAACAATCTCTGCAGCGTGAGAATACCACAGATTATAAGCACTGCTTGATTACGAAGAATGATAATGGAGAATATAATCTCAGTGGAACCAAGAGAAGTTTTGGTAATCTTAAGGATCTGTTGACCTGTTACCAGACAGAAACTGTCCGTTCAGACAGCATCATTTTCCAGTTCGTCAAATGCTGTCCTCCAAAACCAAAAGGTAAGAGAAACGTTTTTTCTAAGCAGAAGGGCTTCCAACTTTTAGATTAAGGATTTAAAAATAAGCTAACATTAAATGACTATCAGGTAGGTAGTTAGATGTTTGTGTGCTTTTTTAAGCTTCACTGACCTATTTGTTCATCTTCTTAGTCATAATTTCCAGTCCTATTGTCTGCAAAATTTTACTTTGTTCTAAGATGTTGTTCCAGAAAGAATCATAGAATCCTTTAGGT